TTATTCTTATTCCACTGGTTGTCAGGCTGTCCACCTGACATCATTCTAGAAGCAGCATAGTAAAAGAGCAATCTCGTATGCTAGAGCAGCACTGTCCAGTAGAAACAGAATGTGAGCCACATGTGTCATTTAAAATTGTCTAGTAGCTGCGTTTTAAAAACTGAAAAGAGGCTGGGTGCACTGGCTCACACCTGTAATCTCAGACTTTGGGAGGCTGAGGTAGGAGGATTCCTTGAGCCTAGCAGTTCAAGACCAGCCTGGGCAACATAGACCCCATCTCAAAAATAAAAAGTAAAAAGAAACAAGTGAAATGAACTTTAAACATATATTTATCATTCAATATGTCATCAGATGAAATATCAGTGAATTTTTTTATATAAAGTAAAAATCTAGTATGTATTTTACTTACAGCAGATCTCAATTTGGACTAACTTTGCTTCTGATGTTTGATAACCATGTCTAATGGCTACTCTGTTGAACAAAGCAGCTCTATAGAGTTAAGAAAAGTATAGTAAGAGAAGTTAACCTGGCAGCTCAGCATGGAAAGAGAAGACATTAAGAAATATTGGTGGGTTTTTTTGTTTTTGTTTTTGTTTTTGAGACACAGTCTTGCTCCGTCTCCCAGGCTGGAGTGCCATGGCGCAATCTCAGCTCACTGCAACCTCCTCCTCCCGGGCTCAAGTGATTCTCCTGCCTCAGCCTCCCAAGTAACTGGGATTACAGGTGTGCGCGCCCCCACACCTGACTAATTTTTTGTATTTTTAGTAGAGACAGGGTTTCACAATGTTGGCCAGGCTGGTCTCGAACTCCTGACCTCAGGTGATCCACCTACCTTGGCCTCCCAAGGTGCTGGGGTTACAGGCATGAGCCACTGCACCTGGCCAAAGTAATGGTTCTTAATAGTGGCCCTTCATCATTGGGAAAAGATTAAATGTTATTTAATGCTGTCTTTTTAAGAATGTGGAGAACTATGATATGCTTTTTTTTAAAAAAACATTTATGTCAAATACAGTTGTATACTTGGAAAAACTTTCTTCTTAGAAACTTTACTCACATAAAACACTTTGTTTCCCAGTTCCCTGATAGCTTAGATGAGGTTATAAGTCAGAATTGCTAAGCTTTACCCAGAACTCATGAAAACGAAAGGCTTCAAGTGTCTGTCTCCTATAGATTTTTCCATCTCTGCAAACTTTGGGCAAGAGTGATAGCAATTAGCAGAGAATTGATGTAGAAGACAGCAGGGAGCAGAGGCGGATGAGTACAGATTATGGTGGAATTTGGAGTCTTGTAACTCTAGAGGTTTTCTGATATTAGAATGCAAACAGACATTATAATGGATATCATGCCCAATCCTTCATTTTATAAATGAAGCAACTGTGGCCAACTGATATATATATAAATCGGTCTGTTATGTTGTCTGGGTCACAGAATAAGTTTGTTATATAGAATTGGAAATCGATGTTTATTATATTTATATGGAATTTTACCTTCTTTTTGTCACTCTGTGATTCTGGGTAAGTTACTCTGTACTGGTTTTCATGTGCATAAATGCAGATAATAGTAACCTTCCTTCATATGGTTGTGAGAATTAAATGAGTTAGTAGTGTGGAGCACTTTTAATAGTTCCTGGCATAAAGTAAATGCTCAAAAAGTGTTGCTACTATTATTATTAGAGTCATCTTAAATCATGAGTT